TATACTATGTTATTGTAAGAAATGCATTAATTGTTTTAAGTTTTTCTTCTTTTGTATTTATTAAACAAATACATATATTTACAATGATAAAAAAATCAGCTGTATTTGCAATAATACTTTTGAGTGCACTGCGATGGCACACAGCCATTATAGTATAAAACTGTTTGGCAAAAAATTCATAAAGTGTGATCGATTAAACACCATGGTCTTCTGTTAATTTTTTCCGTTAACGAAGCTAAAATTACCATTTCGTCGAAGATGTTTAGAGTCAATTTTGGCCATAAATTTAAATTGTTAAAAAAGTTAAAGGCTATACATTAATCAGTCTACAAAAAATGCATGAAGACTTGTAATCATTAGGAGTTTTTTAAAAGCGACAAAATAAAATTTGATTGATTGATGATTTTTGTGTTTATTATTTAGTAATTATGTATTATTTTTATAAAGCGTATCCATCTTGTTGAAATAAAGCGACTACGTATCGGCTACTATATATTTCCGTTCACGATACTTTTCATAAATCGGGTTCAAATTGTATGCCTAAATAGCTCAGCATTTTTTATATTAGTTATTCAAATCTTCACGATTTCATAAATTGTATTTTTTTCATATAACCAATAACGCCACCAACTTCTTATTTAAAAAAAATTCCTTGTTATCCGTTGTGTTGAAATGACTTATTAATTTTTTTAAAAGATTTTATTAATTATTTATTAATTTAATTTAGTTGGACTTGTATTTTTATACATATTCCCAGGTCATTGCACATATTATTTAGGTATGTTTTTTTTTTTATTTTGTCACATTCATAAAATATATTGAAATTGTAAAGTATTATAAATCTTTCCTTTGAGAAAAATCCAACTATATATTATTATACTCGAGACTCAACTCTTTATAAAAATAGTTATTGTTCAATTATTTTAAATTCACTGAGTGTGAAACCACTACTGCACTATTAAAAAAATATTCCACCATTATAAATTTTAAAATAATTATAGAGTTTGTTATCAATTTTAATTACATTTACAAAAAACATAAAAAAAAAACTGAAAAATTTTATTTAAAAATTTTTTTCCCTATTTTCATTTCCATTTAATAATTTTCTACTTTACACAGCGACTTTTAAGTGAAAACAATTCTGTCAGCACGTGTTCACTAATAACACGTAAAAATGTATAACATCTATATTAGGAAGATACACACATCTACATAACTACAAAATTAAGTATTGTAATTATAAGCCAACAATTTCATTAGACTCATGACAAAGTACATAACTCCTCACTAACTCAAAGTTAATGGCACATACTTCCTGCAAAAAGGTTAGCTACTGGTTTGGAAAATATTTCTAAAATCAAATAAATTAATATATAATATATTACAATCATGCAGTTTAATTGTAAGAAATATACATTTAATAAATAATTGAAATAAATGAGTAAATAATTAAAATATAAAGCGCAATAAGCGCCACTGAAAAAGACTCCAAGAATTGCAGACTTTAGAATTAATATCTTTTTACTGCTACGACTGCAATGATTTTTTTGCAATGGTTTCTCTACCGCAACAGCGCAACCAAGAAAAAGTGCATCTTTCAAGTATCTCTGCATGGCCCAACGAATTGTGGGTTCGATCCGTCGTTGCAGTAGCAACGCAATACAAGTGAACACCTAAATATGTGCACAATTAAAACAAACTATAAAAATCAAGTTTGGATCTCATGTGAAAATGTTAAAGTGATCATACTGTGTTGAAGTAGCAAACTGGTTCCAAACAAACTATCCAAAACAATCACAAGATACGAGTATGTTCGCCTGCAGTAATAAATATAAAAACAGCAAGACAGACAAACAGACAGACACATCCATCTGTACTTCACACGAAAAAAAAAAGTTCACATCAAATTAATAAGAAATCCATAAATTTCATTGAGTTAAGTTCCTGGGAAATGTACATATAACGTAAATTGATTGCTAAAAAATTCAATAAAATTTCTAAGCGACAATATAATTTGCATAAATTTATATATATACATATATATCTATACATATATTAATATCTACTTCGAATATAACAGATTTTGAATTATAATAACTTCACGAATTGAGAAGAATATAATAAAAATTTGCAACCTTAATAAATATAATAATGAAATTTATAACTTCCACTGTGTTATTGATAGCCCAATCCATTTTCTTAATCATTAGACATATAAGTTAGAAACACTGTAAGTTCCTTAGTTTATTATGAAAATTATTAAGTAAAATAATTTTAAGCTCTTGATTAATAATCTAATACAGAACTTCTTAATAGCAGATCTAGGGTTTGCTTCTGATTTGCGTTTTTGCTACTATTGAGTTATACATTACTATACTTTTGGCATTACTGATATTATATTTTGGGAAGATATTTTACGGGATCTTAAAATGCAGATATTTTTTATTTCGCTAAACATTTAGACGGTGATATAAAATTCGATATTATATTTTGGGAAGATATTTCACGAGATCTTCAAAAACAGATATTCTCCGTTTCGCAAAACGTTGAGACAGTAATCTATAGCGCAAAATTAAACCACAATATATTTTAAAATAAAATCAAGATAAATCAGGAAAACCTAAAAAATTCTTATTTTCAAGAAACTGATGAACAACTAAAGTATTTAAGCTTATCGATTAACCGAAAGAAACTAAATTCTAAAACACTTCTTAATATAACAGAGGATTACTTAAAATATTTGCGAGTTATTTAATAAAATGTTATAAACTCAGATATTATTTAAAAAATATTGACCTTTCAAATACAAATACTTGTCACTCGGTGGATAGGTTTGTCTATTTTGTCTTATATTCTCAGAGAATGTTCAGTACTCTATAGAAAATATAGCTATATGGAAAATAATATTTAGGAAGAAGTATATCTTTAGAACTTAGTATAAAACGCAATTTTGAAATACGGTAATACATTCTTCGAGTATTGAAGAATTTTTGTATCAAACCAAAAGATATTCCAAAATGCAAAAATTTTGTATCAATTTATTAATCTCGCAATGGTACATTCAAAAAATAGTTCATATGGACCAATGGATCTTTAATGAATCCAATGGATCTTCAATGGATCTTTAAAAAGTTATTGAAAAAATGATGTGATATTGTTGGTTCGAGCCACAGACTGCAATGCTATAGTTTATATGAGCTCATTATAATAATAGTAATACTAACATTTATCATTAGGTTTGTCTTTTAGCGGTCTTTTATTTTTTCTTCCATCTTGCTACTTTAATTTTGATTTCAAATCCTGCTACTTACTGTGTGTAACAAATTAATTTTTAAATCTTCCTACTTACTCTGTGAGACACTATATTTTATAAAGCAAATAAAATTTAACTTCTAAAATAAGTGTTTCTTATAATATGAGCCATATTATAGACATACGCCACTGAAGTCGATTCGTACAGTTAATATGTGAAGACCTCTGTGAATATTTTTATTCATTATACAGT